ATAGTTTTACTCAAAACCTCAGTTCCTATCCAAGATGAAATCATAAATCGTTAGTGACAAGCTTGTTACTGAAGGCAGACAGAGGAATCATAGCAAACACATGTTTAAATTATACTTCAAACCTAGAACAAATGCAGAAATGTAGAGGGATATCTGAGAGGCTCCAACCCAGAGGTACATGATGCAGAACATCCTCCACGAATGAGAAAAGGACTGAAGCAGGACGGAGAGACACTGGACCCCAAGAGACATAAAAACAACCTTCTTCCTTCCAAACCTGATTAGAAAGGAATCGTATATATCGCAGATATTTATTCACAGATACAGAGCATTTATAAATGCATGTGGTTTGTTTTCGTTTGGTGAGGAAATGCAATCAAATAGCTACAGTTAAGGTTTAAAAAAACAAACAAACATCACAGCTAAATGAACAAACCCTCTTTGGAAATGAACCGAAATTGGAAACATTAGAAACTGAATAAGGAAATAAAAATTTATGTTAAATACAAAACTATATTAGCCTGTGTGTTAGCACCATCCCTCTTATAACAGCAGATGGGGCTGCTGTCATTAATTCCACTATATAGTGTGGCTATAGGTTTTTTTTTTAACTATTCCGAAATCAGTGTCATTTGCCAGCTATTTATTTTTCAGACACTACTGTAATCAGCACTGTATGAACAGACTTGATTTAGAGAAACTAACAGACTTGGAGTATATAGTAAATGACAGAAAATGTCTTATAATTAAGTCAATGTAGGTATAATTATACAGGGTGGATTCAGGGTAAGTAGAAAAAGGATAATTAGGAGTAAAATACCTGTCTGAAAGCTGTCCTGAGACTAGGGACCCAATGAGATATCCCACAAATAGACTCGAGGATGCAAATGGAACTTTCCATTGGTTGTCACAAACAAGGTCCCACTGTAAAAGATGCGAATTACATAATAAAAAGACAGCTTAAAGCTTTCAAAACTGGAATTTCATGTTAGTAATCATAATAATATAGTACTGACCTCAGTGACTATAGTGGATTGGTAGATTTCTTTGCTGTAATTCCATCCATCTAAACATCCCTCCTGCTCCAGGGTTGTCAGGTTAACTTCTCTTCCAGGAATATATCCTTGTGCAGAAAGATTTCTAACCACGTCTATCTTATATCTGCTGCACTGGCTCTGAACTTCCTCACCATCCACTATCGTAAAGGGAATGATGGCATCTCTCCACTCCTCGGTCAGGTTGACGTCTGGAATCAAACAGTGGTGTTTCGGAGCTGCTCCAACAAAGACAATGTAAAGCCCGTTGAATCCGGTTGACACAAAAACAACATTTAGGAGAAAGAATGTGGTCCAGAAGTAAGGACCGCTCTGTCCAAGAAATGCTGTATCGTCATCATAATCTCCCATTCTTTATATATAAGTATATTACAAAAAATACCTCCCTGCTCTGAAGGGAAAAAGGCAAAGTCTTGTAAAATTCTTCAGAGCTGGCTTTCTTCTTAAACTCTTCAGCTTAGTGTCAGAGTGTTAGAGCTGAGCTCTTTGTCAGGCAGAGTGAGCCGGTCTCTTGGTGGGACGGAGTTAAACTTTAAATTTAAGTGCTGAGTTTTAAACCTCCTTTCTAAAGGATAAATTTTCATCGCAATGTGAAACTTCTTGTTGATCCTCTATTCTTATAAGCAGTCAAGGCAGAAAATGAATCGAATATTAAAGAATGACAGACAGCTCATGCGGTAATTTGATTGGATTTGATTTACTGTAAGTAAGAATAACCAGAAGCTTCATAGTTACCCAGCCCCCTCACCCAGCCCCCTCACTACTGTGGAAATTTCCTCTAAACAACATTCCACTCTATTAAATACTCCCAAGAAGTCCACGTGCCTGTACTCTAAATGTTGCTAAGAAGAATTAGGTCTCTCACTGGACTATTTTAAGAAACTCTGTTAAAGCAGACATGACTTCATGTAGATTAAAGATTTTTTGTGTGCACCTATTGATCATGCTTTTGTAAATTTACTACAGATTTTTATATTTAGCCACTTTTACATCATGTACATGGTTTGGAGACTGATTGGGGTCCTGTATTGCAGCTTAAGTTCAATTGCATTTTTAATAAGACATAAAATATATAAATGAATAAATAAATAAATTCCTCTTTATAAATAAATAAAGAGGAATGATTAAAGTAAAAAATTACAAAACCTACAGGCAAAATCTTTATACTCTAAGAACAAAAACCCAGATCGTGCAGAGAGTGCTTTTTCTTTTTAAACAATTTTTAGTGATTAATTTTGTATGTTTTTAGCTCATCTAAGAATTGCACCACCTGCATTATCGTAATTAATTTTAGAGCTAAAGCTGCTGATATCCATCTAATGTACACTCACTACTGACAAACCGCTGATGATCAAACTCTAAGTGTTTTCTTTTACTGTGAACATGGCATGGTTGGTGGTGCCAAAGAGGCTGATCTGAGTATTTCAGAAACCGTTGATCTATTGGGATTTTCCCATGCAAACATCTCCAGGGTTTACAGAGAATTGCTGTCTTTATGACGATAATGTATCCATCATCTGGTGGCTGCTTCCAGCAGGATAACACGCTCAAAGCTCAAATCATTTCAAACTGGCTTCACCGTACTCAAGTGGCCTCCAGTGTCACCAGATCACAATCCAATAGAGCACCTTTGAGATGTTGTTGAATAGGACGTGTATTATGGTTGTGCAGCCAACGATTCTGCAGCCAAGGCATGACAGCATTTTAATATGCAACAAGAACTCTGAGAAATGTTTTCAGCATGTTGTTGAGTCAATGCATTTAGAAATTAGGTCAGTAATGGGCGCAAAACGTGGTCCAGACGAGTATTTGCAAGGTGTATATGACAAAGTTGTTAGTGAGTGTCTATGTACCCTTCAGAGGCTCTTATATTGCTTTAGATAAGAGATCTTAAACCTATCTTTGTTCATAGGCCACACACAACCCAGTTTGATCCTTAACGGGTCAGACTGTTAAAACTGCTGTATAACCTGTATGAATACAAGTCGGCACCTCGTCTCAAACTTGCGAATACCCTATGTCACGAAAAATTCAAGTTACGAAGGCGCTGAACGGCAATATCCTTGCCGTGGCACGGAACCAACATCCTTATTATTTTTCAGCAGCGAGTCTGAATATTAACAATGATATAGACTTTGAGTTTGGATGAAAATATAGCCAATATAATATGTGCATCCATCAGACAGCTTGCCAGTCTTAATAGGACTGCACGATCCTATTGGACAAATCATTACTGACTGTGAAGTTCATTGAAAAACACTTTGTTTAGTCCCCCAGTGGGTTGAACTGGATCTTTTGATTGGCTGTCTCTGAACCAAATGCTGTATATTTGACATGCATAGAAACCAAACTAAGATGTGAAACAATATATTGTGAAGACAGTAAATAAAGTACAAGAAAATAATAATGAATATTCCAGCTGGGCCAGTCTTCAATTTCTTAACCACTTACTCAATTCAGGCCACATAAGAAAGGTTGTTTGGTCTTTATTCATTATACAGTGGAACCCCGACTTAAAAAATTAATTCGTTCCCGAGGGTCTTTCGTAAGTCGAAAATTTTCGTAAGTCGAAGCACCCATCGCGCCTTTTGAGTGAGGCGATGCTGAACAATAGGCTATAGGCTAATTGCTAACTAGAACAACAATACGTCGTTCAAGTGGAACAGCGAAGCGCAATTACGAAAGCCAAGGGGTTGTCACATGATTCGGAAGGCATCGTGGGGATTGTAGGCTTAGCCAATCAGAGCCAGCAGATTTTATTACACGGGCAGAAATATTGCCGTTCAGCGCCTTCATAACTTGAATTTTTCGTGACATGGGGTATTCGTAAGTCGGGGTTTCACTGTATACATAAAAAGAGATCAAAAGTATACAGATAAATCGTTTCCCAAAGTGAAAATACTCATCTATAGATGAAAATTTAAAGCTGAAATTATTTACTGTCTACAGACAAGTTTCCTTCTAAGTGCATAACAACATTTAAAAACATATCAAGTTGTAACAATCACGTGAGAGTCCAGCAGCAGGTGGAATAAAGAGTCTTGCTTAACAGCTCTAACAAAGGGATTTACAGCTCCTCAGGTCACACATGTTGAAAAGACCACATAGATTATACAGCAACATGCATTTGAAACATTGCAATGAACAGTTATGTTTCTACTTAATAAAACCTGGAAAACACAAACACTTATGCAACATCAAATAAGGCTTTTAAAACATGTATCATGTATAATGGTAAATATACTGCTGCCTTTTTCTAATCTAATTCATAAACAATTAATGTCACCAATGTTATTGAAGAGCATGTGTCACCAGTGTCAGCCTGCATGATTTCCTTGTTAATGCTTGGGTGAAAAACAGTTTTTTCCTTGTCTTTTTTTTTTTTTTTTTTTTACAAAAAATGCGTAAAGCAGGGTACACAATCATTAACCCAAGCTTTACCGGCAAGCAGGTTTTCATTGAGGAGATCATGTTTTACACAATCAGTAAATGCAGAGGCTGGGATTACATGCATGTGACACTTCTTTCATGATAATGGTTTGTATAAAGATTAGATATGGCGGTAAGACTATCCTACTCTTTGAGCAGAGGGAAAATTACAAGAGCTCTCTCCCCCCCCCCCCCCCCCCCCTCTCATTTACCCTCTATCTAGCTGTAATTTTTTTTCATTTAATTTTAATAATTGACAGACATTCTGATACACGGTGTTCATTCTTCATTGGTTTTTGGTACTAATGTAGAACAATGTGTACAATTTAAGCTGGAATGTAAGTGAGTGGTGGCTGGAACCGTATTTGCTGAGTGGTATCCACCTTCTATAAGTCTGTTACCTAAAATGTTGAACAAGGGTCATAATGCTTACGTAATCAATCATGTTTAGGAAATTATGAGTGTTCGACTTCATGGTCTTTTTGTGGCAGTTCGATTCAGGAGAAAGACACAGTACAACAAAAAAGGTGTCTGGTCTTTGGGGAGGGAAGACTTTAGGGAACTATAACCAAAGAGAATACCGCGCATCGTTATCTGGCCTTGGACTAAAGATAATTTCTCATACGTGTCATTACGATAATTAAAGAGTCCAGAGTGCATTCTGTATGGCAAGACTAAAGTAAGGAATTTGGAAACACAACTTCCAGTGCAGGGGTAAGACGTTGTCCTTTCTGGACTGTCCCTAATGATGGACTTTTCCGTCACAGTGATTTGCTTGCTCTTTGAAACAGCTGTCTTAGCAGATAAATCCAATGCACATTTTATTGTTGTACCTCAGGAAAAAAGCTTTGGCTGATGTAAATCAGCATAGATCATGGCAGCTAATTAAAACATATACAAAAGGACACTTGTGTAAATCGAATCAAGTATTTTGCTGTCATTATTACTTTGAAATTATTTTAAAATCAGTAATGTTTTATTTGTGCTTTTGAGTATTAGGAAATAGAAATGAGAGATGCTGTAGCTGTCATAATGCACGTGGACTAAAATGCAATAAAAATCGATATGGCTACAGTTTCTATACATATATTAGGAATAACAACGTATGCCTCTTTTAGTTCAGTACAGATAAAAGCAGACCTTTGGGGGCTTAACAATGTATTATTGCGTCATGCAGTTTAAATCACGGATTGCCCCTTTAAAGACAAGTTAATTTGGGGAACTTGGACAATAATTAAAACGGCGCGAGGTGGGAGGGATGGTTTAGTAGTTGAAACAAAAGCTCTGCTTAAGAAATGCCCACTCCAGTCACCATTTCATTTTTCTTAACTCTGGCCCACTGTGTGAACCCTGAGCCCACAGAAACCAGTAAGATGACGGACTATGAAACTTCAACGGCTTTCCTCGGAGAGTGGGGATGTTTCCAGCAGCAGGTGTTTTTCCTCCTTTCTTTTACCGTCATCCCTAACGGTTTGACTGGCCTTTCCACGGTGTTCCTAGCCGACACGCCGTCCCACCACTGCCTCATACCCGCGCAACTCAACCTCACCCCCGCGTGGAGGAACAGCAGCATCCCGCTGGAGCAAGAGAGCAGCCAAGGTGGCGCGTTGGTGCGCAGCAGGTGTTCCAGATACAAACTTGTTGATATCCTGAGTTTCTCTGAAAAAGGCTTGCTGCCCGACGTTGATGTGAATCTGTCTACTGTGCCGAAAGAAAGCTGCTTGGACGGATGGGAGTATGACCAGAGCATCTACATTTCTACAATCATATCGGAGGTATATACACACACCTTTTTTCTAAATGCGGAAAAGGCTGCTTCTGCTTTTATGCTGAGGTAGAGCTAGGCGACTGTGTATAGCCATATAGGTTAAATGTTGTGATATACAGGAAGTGTGTTAGCTAAACTCGTGTTATTATGGGAATTCATCACAAAGTCAAACAAGATGTGGCAACAATTTCTCAAATAACACAAAATCTCTAATTCGTGGAAAACTGGCCCTAGGTTGTGTGGTTTACAGGAACAATGCTGTTTTATGCTTTTAGATTGTTGTTTAACATCTGGAACACACTGGGCTGTTTGTTTTTTCTTGAAGAGAAAACAACAACAACAACAACAACAACAACAACAACAACAACAACAACAACAACAACAACAGTGTGTTGTTGTTGTCTGCACTGTATATAGAGTGTGATCTGCACTGTATATATCTTCTATGCGTTTTTTCAGTGGGACCTGGTTTGTGATGAAAGCTGGAAGAAACCACTGACTTCTTCTTTCTTCTTCTGTGGAGTTCTCACCGGTTCCTTCATTTCAGGACAGCTCTCTGACAGGTTATGGACAAGATAGCTTAATTATTATCAATTGTTAAATTCTAGTCCTATGTTTCAAAGTTGAGCTAGAGTACTATTGATCTACTGAATGAACACATGTGGAGTAATGTGACCTAGCACATTTCATCTAGTATTTACTGAGGAATAGTTTTTTTAAAAAACTGTTATGCCCAGCTGTATATTAATATAGCTAATCCTACCACAATATGTGTTAGATATGATATAGAAATAAATGCCCTTAAGCTCATATCTATTGCTACAGAACTAAGCTGTTGAACAAAAGTCACTGCATACAGTAGGCTAATCAGGATGCTCAAGTTAATTATACACTTTTCATTCCACAACTCCATGTCACAGCATCAGTGAATCACAAAATGATAAAATTTTGAGCCGCATGTTAATCATCCAGATTAATTTTTTAAAAACACATAAATTTATATTTATTAGCAAAACAGTGTCAAACCACATGCTACAAATGTTTTACCACGTGTCCTGATACTAAACTGGTCAGCTTCCAGTCGAGACCAGCTATCTATAGCTCTGCTGTACTATGAAACAAAAAAAATAAAACAAGAAAGGACCCTATGCAAGGCAAGATATCTCTCTTTTCAAACTATTGCAAGTATTGCAAAAAAAAAAGAAAAAAAAGAAAAACAGGCCTTAGAACAAATTTAGATGATTCATAACTCATTGCATTTTGTTTTTATTGAAAGCAGCTCTTGCATAATCCCTCACAAAGTCTAAACACATTTCCAGCACAACTCAGAAGCCAAGTTGGGTTAAAGGGGAAATCCATTGTTACTCATTAGAGTAAGATTTTGGGGGGGCAAACTTAAATAATTAATTGTTTGCTTATGTCTCAGAAAACCACACAATTTCAGACTATTTCATTTGTACTGGACGGAAGCTAATGGCTGGGGCGAGGATGAACTATCCAGTAAAGTTGCTGTAAAACAAAATTGTAATTAAAAAGAAGCAATGAGATGCAGTGTCAGGGGATTGGTCAGTCTATATGGTATTGGTAGTCATTAAGTGCACATGTCATCTCATTGAAGTACACGTAGAAAAAAAGAATATATGAGACCTTATTGTTGTTGTGAATTTGACTGACTCTCCTACTTTATAAAACATGCTGATTTGTTCAGTCTTGCTGTATTTCAATTTCAGGTATGGGAGAAAAATAGTTCTGTTTGCTACGCAGGCAATTCAGACGGTATTCACATTGATCCAGGTCTTCTCTCCATCTTGGACGGCATTCTGCGCCCTGTTCTTTGTCGTTGGTGTGGGCCACATTTCCAACTATGTGGCTGCGTTTGTGTTAGGTACTCTATTCAAAAGTTTTCAGATATGTTTTTTATAATACAAAACTTTTATGTAATGTAACTTGTAATTTGAATGTTTTTTATTTATTTATAATTTTCCAAGGAGCGGAGATATTAAGCCCATATGTGCGGACTGTTTATACCACGGCGGGTGTGAATCTGTTCTTTGCTGGGGGCTACATGCTTTTGCCGTTCTTTGGTTTCTTCATCAGGGACTGGAGGATGCTCCTCTTAGGCATTTCACTGCCTGGCTTCTTCTTTGTGCCTCTCTGGTGGTAGGTAGGTGTGTGTTTGTGTGTGACTGTACATGTTACGGTAACTGATAATGCACAGCTGTACATCTGGGGAGTGTTAGGATTTTTTTTAGGGTAATCAAATTATTTTCCCTTGGATCCTTTTTAATGAAGCCAGTACAAAATATTGACAAAACATTTACATGATGTCCTGACTGCGCTTTCTTTGGTTTGAAAAGACTGAGCCTCTGTTTCTGCCCCCTCTTTTGTTTAATGAAAAAGGTTTATCCCAGAGTCTCCTCGGTGGCTACTCTCTCAGGGAAGGATAGAAGAAGCTGAGGCCATAATCAGAGACGCTGCTAAGAAGAACAAGGTGGAGCCTCCATCAGTCATCTTTAGTCCCTTGCAGGTGAGACCTTTTTTTGGGTGCAGTGCTAGAGAAGCGGCAGTTCTTTTAAAATATTTAGGGAAGACAAAAATGCCTTATCTGTCAGTGTTTTCTCTGTAACTGTGAAAATCTGTTACTGTCACTACACAAATAATTTAGAAAGAAGGCTGTTTTACTGGAGACAGGATTGCTGTTTTTCATTTGTTTTCAGAAATCACTTAGACACTATAATATTAATGACTGAACAAGATAGTAAGACGGTAAATATTTCTTCTTTTCCAGGAAAATTACAATGCATACACCTACAATTAAACCATGTCACTATGTTTTTTAATGTTCCAACTGAATTTTCAGTATTTCTAGGTGAAAGGGCAAGAAGCATGAACCTTTTCAGGTTCACTGCTCAGTGTGCATTGAGAGGTAATCATTTACTGTTTTCCTGTTTTCTGCATGAATGAACGTTAATCTGGCGGCTAACAGACAGACATGTTGTCAAGGTTCATTTAACACCTTTCCTTCTTGCACTCTTGCACTGGATAATGTGCCTTTTAACTATTGAAGGAAGTCGACTTTAATTGACAAGGAGTTTTCAACGTGCTGAAAAGAACACCAAGCACTGTTATATTGTGCTTGAGTACAGCTATACATGTGTTATGAGCCTAAATGTGCATAGGTTAGATAGGTTAGCTGGTAAATGGTTGAGTATATGGTTAAACCTGTAAGGCCTAAACTTTAACAGCAGTTGAACAAAAGTGTCTATTGTGTAAGAACTGATTAAACCTGTAACTGCAAATAAAGGTAAGTTTATGAAAGAAGCTGTGAAGACAACATGTTTCTTAATATTACCTTGGTTTTTGTCTACCTGAATTCACTTCACAGACAACTGTCTATTAAAAATGAAAGACACCATTACCAAGAAACTGAAAAGAACCCTTAAATCCAAAAAAACGGTAGATTTCCGAGATTGAAACATGAAATAAATCAAACTGTTAATTGCAGTAATAGTGTTCATTGTTAAAAAAAAAAGATCACATGCTTAATAATGTAAAATTACCAGTTGAACTCTACAAAAGAACTTTAAAAAGTGGGTCTGTTTTTTTCCACAATGCATTCCTCCATTCAGATGACCTCTGTGTTATTTTTTTCAACTTTGGTTTCTTGAACTCTATTCAAGAAACCAAATTGCCACATTCATGAACTTTATCCTGCGCAGCAATCTCTCCCCCTTAGAGATAATGTACCCTTAGCATGGGTTACAAAATGTTGTTTTTTTTCTCTATCTGTTTATTGTAACTAGGTCTAGAACAATATACACGTCCAATGTCTTTATGGAAGCACATTTTTAATTTTATTTTTGTGAACAGATCTGCTAAAAAATGTGTAGAGTTAGCATTTATTTGGTGTCATTTCTGGAAACTGGGAGTGGATTATGGTGGTTTTTGAGGGATTGTTTTTTTGGGGGGGAATAAAAAGCTGAATACTTGACTGCTGTCTGTTTCGAATTATAAACATCTGTCTCAAGCAATCCATGGGGATATGATTAGCTTACAAATGTGGTATTACTGCAAATGGCAGTATAATATGCGGTTTAGGGGATATAAATGCATTCCCTCCCCCAACTTTATTATTATACACAGAAATATTGGCTCATTTAAATTAAAATCCTCACATTTGAATATACTGTACACACACACACACACACACACATATACATATATATGGAAAATCTGACCCTGAACCCACAAGCTTCTCTCTCGTTACATTACTTCCAGACTGATGGCTCTGCTTGTTAAGTGTTTGTTATTCCACATGCATCGATGCCCTGCAGGAACAACTTAAGCCTGAGAAGAGAAGGGCCCACAACATCTGTGACCTGCTTCGTTCTCGAAACATCCGCTGGATCTCTATCACGCTGTGGCTGATCTGGTGAGTCCCTGCTGTCCCACCTGACCCTCACATTTGGTACCGTGACCCTACATACACAGCTACACACATTCAAGCACTCACATGTAGGCATAAACACACACACAACTGCTCACATTCACATACAAAGTTTTAACCTGTTCATGCATCAGTTTAACCACATGTCAGCCTGTTTCACTAACAACAAATAATGACCTGTCGGGTGCTGTGAAGCCTGCAACTAAGATCAAAATCAGGTTTTGCGTAACTGCACAGTATGCCTGTATTCGTCCTGTGCACGCTTCCTTGCTGAGTCCGAAAACAGATGCAGCTGCATTTCTGTTTGATCAGGAAACAATTCAATCTAGCTTTACACAGTTAAGTCTTTGCTAGTGGATAAGATTATATTTTTCTTAACCTCTGAAGTTAAAAATATTAATATGAAAATATTTTTAGGATGCATATCCTGAAAATATCAATTGGAATAAATATGTATTCACACATTGCATATTACAATTAACTGACTTATAAAACTCAAATTTTTCATTTCTCTTTCTATTAAAAACTTGTTTTGAGTGCTTTAGGGTTCCTGTAGGGGAAACCCAAGATAAGGTTGAGTTGTGGTTCTCGTTTGGCTTGCTTTTGTAATTTTTAGCTAGTCACCTTGTATATAAACGGGCTTCTGTGGCTACAGTGTAGCTTGCCATCACCAGTGTGTGAATGTGTGTGTGAATGGGTGGATGACTGAATGTGTAAAGTGCTTTGGGGTCCTTAGGGACTGGTGAAGCGCTATACAAATACAGGCCATTTACCATTTACCATAAACTAAAAAATGGACAAAGACTGCATGACATCACCCAATGGTTTCTAGCTGCTTTGAAGTTGTGGTTTTATGTGTTGCAGTCTTATTATTTTAGCCAAAATTGTCAATTTTTGGACGTTGATGTGCTAAACAAGCTAGCAATGCTAGCTAGCTTGGTTAGCAAGGTGTATCCATACACATTATAGATGCATTGCACACACAAAGATACCTTTTAGTTAGTGTTAACATACTAAAAAAAAATTGAATTTCAGTTCAGTGACTTTAATTAGCTTAAATGAAATGTGGCACAGAGCTGGGAATGTAGTCAGCACCTACCTGTCACCACAGTGAGTTTAAAACATAGATGTAGCTTGAAAAAATGTTGCAAATACAAAAGTGACTGAAGCCTACATTCTTCAGAAATCAATAGATGAAGTTGCAGTAGCTGCAGCCATCTTAAAACTGTCTATGCTGCTCACTCAGTGCAACCATGTTCCTTATTTGCCATAAGGAAGGCTTAAGGCAACTTTTGAAAAAAGACAAAAATAAAACTAAGTCCCCTATCAATATAAAAGGAAAAAAATAGCTCTAGGTTTATTTTGTTTCTTTCTAGGCATAAAAACTGTAAAGTACGGAAGCGTAGAGCAGCCACCCAGGCAAAAGAAAAATAGAGCTATATCATGTTATAACGTGAGAAGTTTATTTTTCTAACAATATACTTTTCATGTTTGTACAATATACTATCATGTTAGTACAAAATACTTTTCACTTTTGAACAACATAATATCACGTTATTACAACATACATAATTATCATGTTTGTACAATAAAATATTTTTTATTGTACGAACGTGAAAGGTTTTTGTTATAATGTGATAATTATGTATATTGTAATACTTTATAGGATATTGTACAAACATGAAAAGTATATCATTAGAAAAATAAACTTTTCACATTATAACGTGATATAGCTCTATTTATTTATTTATTTTTTTTGCCTGGCTGGCAGCTCTACGCTTCAGTAGTAAAGTACTTCAGGGCTTTTGATGCCATTATCAACTGACCCTAGAAAATTTCATCTTGGCTTTGTTTTTCAGCACTTGAAGGAACCACTTGGACACTCACTAACTGTGTTTATCTGCACTTTTAAAAGTTAAACAAAATTCTAAAATGGATGTTCTTAAAACATTATGAAGCTCTACAAAGCTATGACAAACTTATGTTACACCACCTAAAATACTAGATTTAGCCTTTCATCTATACCATACCACACTTCTCACTTTTAGTGGAGGTTTTGTAGATGTTGCCATCACAACATCTACAGTGTCAAACCAGCAAAAAACTAAAATCTGTTGTTGATACAATGTTTCGTTATCTTTCTGACTACTTTGTAGTGCCATACTATTGAGATGTACAGAATAAGGATACAAAAAGGACACTTTATATCCTCACAGGAACACCTTGACCATTGCCTACTTTGCTGTTTCCCTGAACACGGCAAACCTTCATGGGAATGTGCACTTCAACTGTTTCCTGTCAGCTCTGGTGGAGATACCAGCCTACATTTTGTCATGGACTATGTTTCGCTGGTGTTCCAGACGGCTGACTTTGTCCTCATCATTGTCCATGGGAGGGTTGTTTCTGCTACTCATTCAGCTTATTCCAACACGTATGGCACTTAAATGTTTTGTTCAAAACCGATTTATTATAGCTGTAATTTCTGGCAATCTTTAACTAGTTTTTTTTATATCATTATATATTATGTTCACATGTTCTATTTTGAGTGTTGTTCTCACATTTATTGATTAAGTACAGTCATTTTCAATCTTTTGCAAAACTATACCGCTGTTTGAACAAATAACTTACATCAAACCTCGAACAATTTAATGTTTTTCCCCGTAGATCTGTTCTCTTTGGCAATAGCACTGGAGATGATAGGGAAGTTTGCAGTGACGACAGCGTATTCTTTGGTCTACGCCTTCACAGCTGAGATCTACCCAACTGTGCTGAGAAATACAGCTCTCGGTGCCTGTTCTATGGCCTCCAGAATAGGAAGCATTACTGCTCCGTTCTTCATTTACTTAAGTAAGGATCTTCTGTCCTCTCTTTAAAGTTGTGTTAATCACTGGTCACAAGGATGAAAAAGAAACACATTTAAAGTGAGGAGAACATATGCTAAGCATCCTGCCATTACATCTAGCTTATTCTTAGTTTCTCGTTAAATGAAGATGTGTTTATGCATTTCTTTTCATCTATTTTAGTAAATACTCTGTCACAGGGCTTGAACATTTAGACGTTCAGAGTCAGATAACTTGGCATTTTGAAGTTTGGAGTTAAACTAACTCCTCAAGGAAACCAGACCACACACGTCCAAGGAGAACATAGCAACTTAGAAATGTCCCAACTAGAACTAAACAACAAGAAATACCACCAGCTGAAGTATAACAGAAGACTTGATTAGCAATCAGAAAGGAAACAACAGCCTTCAGTTAAAATTTACAAGTTTCTTAGCATTTAAAGGATTTTTTTTTTGTAACCATTGTAGGCAAGGTTGCTTTTCACTTTCTTAACATCCTTTGATATGTTGCCACAGGAAGCTATTCCGTTTCACTGCCTTACATCCTTATGGGAAGCCTTACAGCCTTAGCAGGGTTGCTGAGTCTCCTGCTGCCTGAGAGCTTTGGAATGCCTTTGCCTGAGACCATTGATCACATGCAGCACTTTCCCGGGTAAAGAAAGAGTTTCATTATAGAGTGAGATTAGGTAAAAAGATTATTTTGCTATTTTTTTCAGTGTAGTTTAAATTCACAATTGTTGTAGTTTGGTAGTTTTACTTTCCGGTGTTATAAAGAGGGGCCAATCTTTCGATTTTTAATAGTTTTAAACATAAAGTTTAAATTTCTTTTTTCTTGTATCACAATTTTATGTCATTATATATTTTTTTTTTCAAAAAATGTGTTTGCTTAAATTTGAAAGATTACTCTTTTACCCAACTCTGTTAATTTTTGGTGTGTTATTTAGTTCACAAGCTCAAATACATTTGCCCTTTGATTATTTTGTACAACAGCTAAACTGAATGTGCAAAGATTAGATTCTTGCTTGTTTAATAAGTAATGTCTATTTGCATATATTGAAAACACCCTCATCTGCCCTGCATCTTGCCTACATGCAGTTAGTATCAGGGATTATCGTCATGCAATATATATTTCTCAATATATTTGTCATAGCTACAATTGTGTTTAATCAGATAAAGGTAAAAAAAAAAAACTATGATAAAAAGCTCACTGCATAAAAGACTGACTGTGCTTTGCTGTCATCTTGACCATGTCTATATGTCTAAATGCACTGAGTTGCTTAGATATATGTGTTCATGAGCAGTTGAACCTATTGAAGTGGACAGTGAGTGTATGCAATATACTGAAATGATAACCAAAACAATTGCACCATAGTTTACAATATTTTATTGGTGTCGCTATCATTTAGTAACTCGGAAATTTACCCAGATTCGCCCAGTCTGGTCAGCCAATCCCATATAACAGATATTAAAACATTTAGTGGGAATCAGATAATTGTTTGACAAGTGTTTCCACTTCCTCTTTAGTCCAGGACAGAAAATCAACAGAAAATGCTTGATTATGACTTTATTTTTTCTTCCTTCTCTGTAGATGCTGTCAGAGAAAGCCCTATACTCTCACACACATGAGAGAAGAGGAAAATGCTCCTGAATGAAAGACTACATAAACAAGGAGAAAAGTGAAAATCTGACTTGATTCGAATCACTGGATGAGCAGAGATTGTGTACTCGTTTCCACTAAGTGACCTCTTTAAGGACGTAGGTAAAATTATTGCTGTGTTGTCACTGGATGTATAAAATTATATCAGTTCAAGGGGACCAGAGAGGTAATTTCCTTACAAAACTGGAAAATATTTTTTTACATTATAGCAAAAAAAATATTATAAAAGGAAGCTTATACTCACCACCAATTTGACAACATTAGGATGTACAGTAGGAAACTTGAAAGAGTAACTTGCAGAAAGTTTGTAGAAATTCAGTAATTTGCTTAGAATATAGTGGGAATACATAATGCATTTAATGCATTTTTAATGGAAGGTTTATTCATTAATTGCTTACCATGAACCAT